TTGCCTTGTGTAAACTTAGAGCAGTAAAAAGGAAATACAGATGTTAAAGAATTGCTACTCTTGTAGGCTTGTTGATCAGTGAATATATGACTCAATCACTACAAAGACTTCAAGTGATAAAGGTTTTCAGATGTGACTAAAGTCACAGAACAAATGTAATAAAACAAAAACAAATCTTGTCTTTAGAAATGAACGTGTACTGAAAGAAATATGTAAGACCTCTGGACTCCTTAGGTGGAAAATTAAAGTGATCCAATAGATCATTATTTAGTCCTATCTAATATAAAATTCTATAAATACTCCATAATATGACTCATCATCAGCAATGGTATGGGTATTTGCAAGGTGTTTTTGATTTGACTTCTTTTTTCTCTCTGTATGTGTGTGTGTGTATGCGATATTGTCAATATCACAGAACAAGAAAGAAAAAATGTTAAAAGTGTGTGTCATGAAAAATTAAATAACTGATTGACTTGAATACTGTGTAAGAACTCTGTTTTATGTAAAACAGAACAAACATCATATTATGCCCAACAAAATATAGACACCAATTTTCTGAAACTATGCAAACCATTAGATATTACCAATTTTATGTCTTACATTTAAGTCTTTAATCCATTCTAAGTTAATTTTTTGTGTATAATGTAAGTGAGATAAGGGTCCAGTTTCAATCTTTTGTGCGTGAATATTCAGTCCTTCTAACAACATTTGTTGAAGAGATGATCTTTTCTCCATTATATATTCTTGGCACCCTTGTCAAAGCTCAGTTGGTGTGGATTTATTTCTGGGCCTTCTATTCTGTTCTACCTGTCAATATGTCTGTTTTTATGCAAGTATCATACCGTTTTAATTACTGTAGCTTTCTGATATATTTTGAAATCAGAACATTGATTCTTCTAGATTTTTTCTTTCTCACAATGGTTTTGGCTATTTGGGGTCTTTTATGATTACATATGAATAGTAGGATTGTTCTTCCTATTTTTGTAAGAAGTGTCATTGGGATGCTGGCCTGGTGGCGTAGCAGTTAAGTTCACATACTCTGCTACAGTGGCCTGGGGTTCGCTGGCTTGGATCCTGGGTGTGGACCTATGCACTGCTTATCAAGCCATGCTGTGGCAGGCATCCCACACATAAAGTAGAGGAAGATGGGCATGGATGTTAGCTCAGGGCCAATCTTCCTCAAAAAAGAAAAAGTCATTGGGATTTTCATAGAGATTGAATTGAATCTGTAGATTGCATTGGGTAAAATAATCAGTTTAACAATATTAAGTCTTCCAATTCATGAACATGAGATGCTTTCCATTTTTTTGTGTTTAATTTCTTTCATTAATGTTTTATAGTTTTCACTGTACATGTCTTTCACGTCCGTAGTTAAGTTTATTCATAAATATATTATTCTTTTTGATACTATTGTAATAGGACTGTTTTCTTTATTTGCTTTTCATATAATTTGCTGTCATGGAAACAACTGATTTTTCTATGTTGATTTTGTATCTTACCAAATTTCTCAATTTATTTATTAATTCTAATAGGGTTTTGTGGAGTCTTCCAGGTTTTCTACATACCAAATCACGTGATCTGCAAGCAGAGATAATTTTACTTATTCCTTTATGATTTGGAAGCCTTTCATTTTTTTTCTTGCCTAATTTCTCTAACTGGGACTTCTAGCACAATGTTGAATAGAAGTGGCAAAAGTAGGCATCCTTGCCTTGTTCCAGATCTTAGAGGAAAAGCTTTATGTTTTCAGGTTGAGTATGATGTTGGCTGTGGGATTTTCATATATGGCCTTTATTATGTTGAGGAAAATTCCTTCTATATCTAGTTTTCCAAGAGTTTTTAGCAGGAAAGGATGTTGAATTTTGTCAAATTCTCTTTCTACATCTATTGAAATGATCATGTGATTTTTGTGATTTATTCTGATAGTGTTGTGTATCATGTGAATTGTCTTGTGTACATTGAAACATCCTTGCATCCAGAGATAAATTCCACTTGATCATGGTGTATGATCCTTTTAATGTGCTGTTTAATTTGGTTTGACAATATTTTGTTGAGGAATTTTGCATCTATGTTCATCAGAGAGATTGGTCTGTAGATTTATTTTCTTGTGTCTTTATCTGGCTTTGGTATCAAAGTAATTTTGGCCTCATAAAATGAGTTTGCAATTATTTCATCCTCTTCTATTTATTGGAAGAGTTTGAGAAGGATTGGTGTTAATTCTTCTTTAAAAGTTTGATATGATTCACCAGAGAAGACATCTGGTCCTGGGTGTCTTTTTGTTGGGAAGTTTTTGATTACTGATTCAATCTCTTTACCTAGTATTGATCTGTTCAGATTTTCTGTACCTTCATGATTCAGTCTCACTAGGCTGTCTATTTCTAGGAATTTCTCCACTCTTCTAAGTTATGCAGTATGTTGGTTCATATTCCAACAGCATTTGCTCACTTTGTGTATCTGTGTCACATTTTGGGAATTCTTATAATATTTCAAACTTTTTCATTATTATATTTTTTATGGTGGTCTGTGATCAGTGATCTTTGAGGTTACTATTGTAATTGTTTTGGGACATCACGAACCACATTCATATACAACAAACTTTATTGATAAGTGTTGTCTGTGTTCCTGCTGCTCCATTGACCAGCCATTCCCCCATTTCACCCACTTTTCCTCAGGCCTCCCTATTCCCTGAGACATAACAATGTTGAAATTAGGCCAAGTAATAAACTTACAATGGCCTCTAAGTACTCAAGTGAAAGGAAGAGTTGCATATCTCTCACTTTAAATCAAAAGTTAGAAATAATTAAGCTTAGTGAAGAAGCCATGTCCATAGCCAAGATAGGCCAAAAGGTAAGCCTCTTGCTTCAGCCAAGTTTTGAATGCAAAGGAAAAATTCTTTAAGGAAATTAAAAGTGCTACTCCAGTGAACACAGGAATGACAAAAAAGAGAAACAATCTTATTGCTAATGTGGAGAAAATTTTAGCGGTCTGGAGAGAAGACCAAAACAGCCACAACATTCCCTTAAAACAAAGCCTAATCCAGAGCAAAGCCCTAACTCTCTTCAATTCTATTAAGGCTGACAGAGGAGAGGAGGCTGCAGAGGAAAATATTGAAACTAGCAGAGGTTGATCCATGAGGTTTAAAGAAAGAAGCCAGATCCATAACATAAAGTGCAAGGTGAAGCACCAACTGCTGATCTAGAAGCTGTAGTAAGTTATCCAGAAGATCTAGCTAAGGTAATTAATGATGGTGACTATAGTAAAAAGTGAATTTTCTATGTAGATGAAAAATCCTTATATTGGAAGAAGACGCCATCTAATACTTTCATAGCTAGAGAGGAGAAGTCAATGCCTGGCTCCAAAGCTTCAAAAGACAGGCTGACTCTCTTGTTAGGGGATAATGCAACTTTTAAGTTAAAGCCAGTGCTCATTTACCATTCCAAAAATCCTAGGACCCTTAATAATTATGCTAAATTATACTCTGGCTGTGCTCTATAAATAGAACAACAAAGTTTGGAAGACAGGGCATTTGTTACAACATGGTTTACTGAATATTTTAAGCCTACTTGAGACCTACTGCTCAGAAAACAGATTCCTTTACAAATATTACTGCTGATTTACAATACATCTGGTCAACCAAGTGCTCAGATGGAGATGGACAATGAGATTAATGTTGATTTCATGACCACTAACAGAACATCATTCTGGAGCCCATGGGTTAAGGAGTAACATCTACTTTTAAGTATTATCATTTAAGAAATACATTTTGTAAGGCTATAGCTGCCATAGATAGTGATTCCTCTGATGGATCTGGGCAAAGTAAATTGAAAACCTTCTGGAAAGGAGTCACCATTCAGTTGTTGCTTTTCAGAACATTTGTGGTTTATAGGAAGAGGTCAAAATATCAACATTAACAGGAGTTTTGGAAGAAGTTGATTCTAACCCTCATGGATGCCTTTGACGAGTTCAAGACTTTAGTGGAGGAAGTTATTGCAGATGTGGTGGAAATAGCAAGAGAACAAGAATTAGAAGTGAAGCCTGAAGAGGTGACTGAATTGCTGCAATCTCATGATAAAACTTTAAGAGATGAGAATTTGCTTCTTATGGATGAGCAAAGAAAGTGGTTTCTTGAGATGGAATCTACTCCTGGTGAAGATTGTTGAAATGACAATATAGGTTTAAATTATTACATAAACTTAGCTGATAAAGCAATGGCAGAGTTTGAGAGGATTGGCTTCACTTTTGAAAGACGTTCTACTGTGAGTAAAGTGCTACCAAATAGCATCACATGCTACATAGAAATAAATCACTAAAGAAGAGTTGACTGATGTGGCAAACTTCATTGTTGCACTATTTTAAGAAACTGTCACAGATACCCCAACCCTCAGCAATCACCACCCTAATCAGTCACAGGCATCAACGTTGAGGCAAGACCCTCCACCAACAAAAGATTATGACTTGCTGAAGCCTCAGATGATGTTGGCATTCTTTTTTAGCAATAAAGTATTTTTTAGTTAAGATACATACATTGTTATTTTAGACATAATTCTATTGCATGCTTAATAAACAACAATATAGTGTAAATATAGCTTTTGTGTGCACTGAAAAACCAAAAAACTCGTGTGATTCATTTTATTACAATATTTTCTTTATCATGGTAGTCTGGAACCAAACCAGCAATATTTCTGAAGTATGTCTACAATTGTTCATAACAGTCCCTTATGAACCTTTTTATTTCTGAAGCATCCCTTATAACGTCTCCTCTTTCATTTCTGATCTTATTTGTCTTCTCTCTTGTTTTCTTACTATAGTCAAAAGTTTCAAGACCGTTTATCTTTGCAAAAACCAGCTAAATTGATTTTTCTTCATCATATTTTATCATTATTTCTGCTCTAATATTATTATTTCTACCTTCTGCTAACTTTGGGCTTAGTTTGTTGTTCTTTTTCTAGTTCATTGATGTGTGAAGTTAGGTTGTTTAAGATCTTTCTTCTTTTTTAATGTAGGTGTTTACTGCTACAGATGTTGCTGTCAGTGCTGCTTTTGCTACATCCTATATATTGGGTATGTTGTCTTTTTGTTTTCATTTGTCTTGAGATATTTTGTAATATCCCTTTTGAGTTCTTCATTGACCCACTTGCTGTTCAGGTATGTGTTATTGAATTTCCACACATTTGTGAATAAACCTATGCATATACAATCCATCACTCTTTGACAAAGATGCCAAGAATACACGATGAGGAAATGATAGTCTCCAATAAATGGTGTCAAGAAAACTGGCTATCCACATGCAAAAGAATGAAATTAGACCCATATCATACACCATACACAAGCATTAGCTCAAAATAGCTTAAAGACCTAAAGATAAGACCTGAAAGTGTGACTCTCCTAAGAAAAAAACATAGGCAAAACTTTATGACATTGGTCTTGGCAACGATTTCTCGAATGTGGTAGTAAGACAAATCAACAAAAGTAAAAATTATACAAAGGGACTGCATCAAACTTAAAATCTTCTGCACAGCAAAGCAAACAATCAACAGAGTAAGGAGGCAACTTATGGAATGGAAGAAAATATTTACAAATGATATAACTTATAAGGAGTTAATATTAAAAATATAAGGAACTCCTACAACTCAGTAGCAAAAAATCAAATAGCTCATTTAAGAAATGGCCCACGGACTTGAAAAGATTTCTCCTAAGAAAATATACAACAGCGAGCAGGCATATGAAAACATCCTCAACATCCCTAATCATCAGGGAAATGCAATCAAATATTTAACTAAGTATCACCTCACACCTGTTAAGATGGCTATTATCAGAAAAACAAAAGATAATAAGTGTTGGTGAAGATGTGGAGGCATGGAACCCTTGTACACTGTTGACTTGAATGTAAAATGGTGTCACTACTATGTAAAATGCTATGGAAGTTCCTCAAAAAATTAAAAATAGAACTACCATATGATCCAGCCACCCCACTCTTAGGTATATAGCCAAAAGAATTGAAAACAGATTCAAAGAGATATCTGCACTCCCATGTTCATTGTAGAATTATTCACAATAGCCGAAATGTAGAAACAACCTAAATGTCTATCGATAAATGGATGGACAGGGAAATGTGATATACACATACAATGGAATTCTATTTCTTCTTTAGAAAGAAGGAAATCCTGTGATATCTGATGACGTGGTTGAACCTGGAGGACATTAAGCATCTGTCACAGGATGACAAATACCACATCATTCCACTTATACAAAACATCCACAATAGTCAGACTCAAAAAAAACAGTAGAATAGTGGTTTCCAGCAGATGGAAGGAGAGAGAAATGAGGAGTTGCTGTTCAACAGCTAAGTTTCAGGTATGTAACTTTCATTAAAGAAGATGGATAAGTTCTAGAGATCTGCACTACATCATATGTATATGGTTAACAATACTGTATTGTGTACCTAAAAAGTTCTCAAGAGGGTAGATCTCACGTTAAACGTTTTTACCACAAAATAAGAAGAAAAACTTAATGGGTTATATAGCTAACCTTGGAAGTGGTGACCCCTCCACTACAGAATCTGTCATTCGTACCTTTTTTTGGAAAAGTACTTTTCCTGGTTTCTCAACTTTTGCCCATTCCTTATGATATTCTTTTTAGATCAAATTTTCTCGAGTCTTGGATTTTCTAAATTCTACAAATATTTTGACAGATGAAATCTGAGAGATTATCTCTAATACCTGCTAGTGAGGAGCCTTAGGTCAATAAATATTTAGTGATATATCAAGTTTTCATAGTCTCTCAGTGACAAAATTTGGATGAGAATTCTGGTCTTCAAACTCTCATTCCACTGTTTCTTCTTTCTCCTACTAAGCAAAAGTTTGATCATTGAATGTATGGCCCTATTCTCCCTTCTCATCCAAATATCTCTAATTTAAGTTTTGCTCTGTAGCTTTATTTAAACAAAGATAAACTGAATCAGTATTTTCAGGCTTATTGAAGATAGGGAAATAAGTGTTCTAATCCAAACCATAGAAATTTCGCATATTTTAATTCTACTCTAGAAAAAATATATTTGATATGCAAAATATAAAATTTCCCTGGTAACGATCAATGTATTTTGCTTCATCATTATTATGAGTTAATTAGCTGATAAAATTCCCTTAATATTCTTTCTTCACATAGAACTCATTTTTAGTCCTGACTATATAAATTCTCATTCATATCCTGAAAGATAGTGTTAGTATTTCTTCAAGTAGAATTCAAATAAAATGTATAAATGTAAATGAAAATTTAAATAAAATTTAAATTATAATAAATTAATGTTCAAATGTCAAGGGAAATAAGATTTTCTTGCATCAAATTTGGATAAGTGATACATTATCATGTTACTTTCAATAAAAATTTCTAAATTTGAGATAAAATGTTTTATGTTAATAAGTTTGATAATTTATGATTATTTGCTACTAAAAGAAGTAAAAACTAAGTTCTGTTTACTGCAACTTTCCTGACGATTGAAATTATCATAAAATAAAAAGTGTAAAATAAGTTCCTATAAACTATTAAATGTTTTGACTTAGGCATCATCACCTTTAAAATGTTACATTCTTTGTAGTTGAAAAAAATCTTGACAAAATATGTTATCATAAAATTTAAGAATTTCTCCATTAAAGATTTTCTTTTTATCATATTGATTAAATTATAAATCTAATATCCAAATATGTAGCCAATTTCTTAAAATAATTTCTACTCCTTTCCTTATTGTCAAACAATTATGTTCACAATACCTATTTTAGACAATTAAAAATCTTCAATAATCATACTGTCATGAATAAAAGCATTAAAAATTTTCTTGTATTGACAATTTACCTATATGAATAAATATGTATTTTTTAAAAAGTAAATGTGTGAGCATAAAAATATGTATATGTAATTATAGGTCCTGATTTTAACAGAGTAGTGTATCCTGAATTTTGAAATATATCTGTTATTGGATAATTTCAATTTGCCTGAATATTCCAAAATTTCTTAATTGATTTTTGTTGTGGGAGAATTTAATTGATTTAAAATTATTTTTATTACACCTTAATGAAGAAACCTTATATAATTTGTTATAGATCTTATATAATTGTTCTTACAAATACTCCTAGAAGTGGAATAATCAATTATTTGAACATCTTAAGGTCTTCTGAGCCTTGCCTCACTTTTTTATTCATTAATATTGTGCTAATCAGCATTCTCAACAGTAGTTATGAAAGTATTTCTCTCATTCTGCTCCCACTCAGAGTTCATATTGATATTATACTTTTTGCCCTTGGAAGGTTGTCACTGAGCTACCATCTGTACCAATTGTCCTCCGTTTTATGTGGGATGCCACCACAGTGTGGCTTGATGAGTGGTGCTAGTTCCACACCCAGAATCCAAACCCATGAACCCCGGGCTGCAGAAGTGGGGTGCACAAACTCAATCATTATGCCACTGGGCCAGCCTCAATATTATACCTTTTAATGTTATCTTCTTTTTCTGTGAGATCAATAGCATGATGTCAGTTTTATATTATTATTTTTAAAAAGTTAATTTTAAATTTTTAAATTTATAATTTATATAACTGTAACATATTTTGTCAAAGTGTAAAACTATTTTTGTTTCCTATGGCATAGCATACTTAGTATTTATTTAATCATTTTGTTTTCTGTTGTCTCAAAACTGTCCATTTTAAAGAACATTCAGGTGCTTTTAGATTATATTTTTCACTTTTTATATAGCTGTTCTTAATACACTCCTTGATGGTTGCAATGTTTTTAACAATATTCACAGAAGTTTTATAAATTTAACAGAAATAAGATTTTCTATAGTTTAGTTATTTAAGGAAGTGAGTTCTGAAGTTAGCCTGCCTAGGTTCAAATCCACTTAATTATATACCATTGTGTAGACTTACATCTTTCTCGGTTGGCCTCATTGTGGCCAAGTGTGTAAAATGTGGATGATACTAGTAACTTAGGTGGTTCTCTCAGAACTAAAAAAAGAGTTAATGTATAGAACGTAATGGGAACAGTGCCTAGCATATAATAAGTACTTCATAAACTTTCCAATTAAAGTAAATATAGGGTTTGCATATTCAAAGCATAGAGGTATGTGTTTTCCAAATGTTATATAATCTTCTTTACACCTCAATGGGTTGTTATTATTCCATTTTGTAAATTAGAAAATTAAAAGTTATACAAGTGAGGAAAATTTTGTTAGATTACATAGAAGGTGTGGAATTTTGGACCTTGATTCACATCTTTTTTCTTCTTACACTCATACTTTTTGTTCCAAAATTTATACATGTAACTTCATTGATCTCAATTGAAGACACTTTCATGCAAAGTTTTAAAAATAGCGTAACAGTGATATATTTGCTGAGCTTTGAATAACTGTTTTGTATTTTGTTTGCCTACTTTCATAAAAGACAACATCGATGGTTTTCAAAACCTTGGATCTCCACATTTCTTCCCTAGAACTTTCTGGATGTCATTTCAATATTTTTTAAATTATTGGAAGAGAATTAGGTTTTCTTTCTTTCTTTTTTCTTGTCTCCTCCCTTCTTTCCTGCCTTCATTTCTTATAGACATTAGACGTCTCCAAATATAGATAAGCTAAGAAACAAGACAGCACACCTGAAAAATATAACAATCATTCCTCAAAAAAAACAAAACATTCCTTCAATCACATACATTTGTGCACAAGGAAATGAAGGAAATTCATTCGAATCAGAAAAACAAAACAATAATTAAAAATAATTGAAGTATGTAAGGGCACTCTATGTATGAAGAATAGAGAAGGGAAATCAGTATTGGTAGTTTAAAAATATGAGTTTAAAATTCACAATTGGTCAAGAGGTTACTAGTCTTTGGGCAATTTTACATGGTAGATACAATTAAGCCCCATTCCCACCAAATCCACATACGTGTGTCCACAAATTTGGAACCATCAAATTTTTGAACATGTGATTTAGGGGGTAACTATCTCTATTCAAATATGACAATAATGAGAAAGTTTTCTTGGCATTCCCTGGGAGCTTCCTGGGAAAAAATGAGGTAATAATCTTTACTGGATGTTAGAAACTATTTCAAAGCCACCAGCATTGAAACGTATGAATTTTCAATAAAAATATATACAGAAAGTTCAATGAAAGAAATTAGAGAATCCATAAATGGGGGGAAATATATGTGGGAAATTAACATATGTTAAGGTTGGTATTTAAGGTTGCGATGAGGAGATGGAATATTCACTACATTATTTGGGACAACAATAGACCAACTTAGAGAAAATATTTGATATCGACGTTAAAATTTATGCCAAAATAAAATCCAGATAAATCAAAAAGTTACCTACAAATGATGAAAAACTTAAAACCTTAGAATAAATAATGGGGATCGTAACATTTTTATAACTGTGACATAAACTTTGTAAGGCACAATTCAAAATTTTAAGTAAATGATAAAAATTTTACTTGAAAAAATGAAAAGTGAAATCTATGAAGCTGAAATAAAACCAATAAACTATGAAAATCTTGTCAATTTACAAAACTGACAAAATAATATAATTATATAAGTAGATGAAAAGATAAATAAGAAAGGTCATAAATCAACTGATGAAGAAAAAATGCGAATGATGAAGATACAAATTGAATTTTACAGAAATTCAAATACATAATATTGTTAAACTTATTAAAATATGTTGAACCTAAATTTTTATAATAAAAATGTAAAACAAAACTATGAAGAGATGCCATTTTTTTACCTTTCTATTTTCAAAGATAAAGATGAAATTTAAGGGGCTGGCCCTGTGGCCGAGTGGTTGGGTTCACGCGCTCCACTGCAGGCGGCCCAGTGTTTCGTTGCTTCGAATCCTGGGCACGGACATGGCACTGCTCATCGGACCACGCTGAGGCAGCATCCCACATGCCACAACTAGAATGACCCACAACGAAGAATATGCAACTATGTACCGGGGGGCTTTGGGAAGAAAAAGGAAAAAATAAAATCTTTAAAAAAAAAAAGATGAAATTTAATTACTTCTAGATGAAAAGTTAACAATTGTTTGCAAGCCAGAACAACAAAAGCTGCTAGACAATGGAGATGTCATTTGTTTGAGGCCAATAGAGAAATGCTGCAGCAATGAGAACCAGAGGGTCTAAGACTCTGGTGGGGAAAGAGCCTCATAGTGGTGGATTAACATTTACAGATGCTTTTACTCTGGGGATATCTGACTGTCCTGGGCACTGATAGGGTGCTGAAAATCCTGCCTTGATGTCTCCAGAGAGCTGTTTCTTATGGACAGAGAAAGTAGCAAAACGTTGTTCTCTAGTTGAGGGCCTCAAGAATTCAGAT